AAAAAAAAGATAAGAAGTTAAATTAGTTATGTGTAAACTGTCAACTTGAAAATAGTAAATAAATATTATTCAAGAACTTATAATTTCAAAAAAAAATTTTTTTAAAATAAAAAATAACAATGAAAAGAGTACTATGGTGAAAAGTTTTTTAACTTACCAGTTGAGCAAAGGTTGAAACCTTCATACGTTTGAAAATTTCATCTTTGCGAAATCTATAGTCTACATAAATGCAATATATATACATTTGTTGTATACAAATATAATATATAACAAAAATTATATCTTATTAAATTTAAAAAAAAAAACTGCAAAGGACATGACGTAAAGAGTTATGTTTCATAATATTAAAAAAAGTTTATTAAATTTTACTAAATAAAAAATTTCTTATGTACTTTTGCGTATTTCTTCAATTTTTTTCATATAGTTACTAACACTTGCCCCTGAAATTATATAATCAGATTTTTAAATTCAATTAATGACATTGTTAAATGTAAAAGTATGTATTTATTTAATACTAACAATTGCTAAAAAATGAAATATTTTAAAATACAACCTGTATCAAGAGTTGTAGTTACATTTTTATATTTTGGATTTTCAGGAATTCTTTTGGTAAACACCTCAAAAGAAAAAAAAAAATTATTTAAAGACTGTTATATATAAAAATTGTATGAATAATTAAAAAAATAGTTAGAAATGAATATTAAATATATCATCAATGGTTAATTAATAAATAATTTTTTAAGCAAATAAAATCATTAATAATAAATATATGCATTAATAATAATGAAAATTATTTATCGCAATGCAAATGTCAACTCTTTAACAAATGGAGAAAAAAATAAAATTCAACTCAATGTAACAAACAAAATGTTCACAAAAAAAAAGTTTATAATAAAAAAATAATAATATTAATTATATTATTAAAAAAAAAATGTTGAAAATAGAGATAAAATAATAATTTAGGCTAATAAGCAAGACAAAAGACATCAATTTAAAAACTTAAAAAAAAACCCAACTATATGTCAGTTTCACTTTATATATATATGTTTCACTTTAAATATTTTATTCTTTGAATAGTTTCAATATATTTAAGATAATAAAAATAATTATTATTTCTAAACCGAACTATTTTTGTATAATTGATATTTGACATATAGAAAAAAATTATTTTTAATGGTTCCCAAACAAGTAAAATTAATGTGGTCAATTCCAATTTTATAGAAAGGCATTTTAAGTGGGTCATTAAAGTGTTATTAGAATCATAGTCACACATCACTCAAATTAACACAACCCCAATAAAGTGAGAGTAGTTAGCATTTAATGTCCTGGACATATATTTCCCACATTAAACATCTTGACAAGTCATTATTTTCATATTCAAATTATTATTAAAGTTTGGTTTTTAAAAAGTTCTACAAAATAAAACAATAAAAGTTTGCATAAAAGTATTAGAATATACAATTTGTTGAAATTTAAGATTACGATAACAATCATATTGAATCAAAGATAATTCTAAATAACAAAAAAAGAAAGTGTATCCATACAAGGATGTCATGAAATCACGCATACTACTGTATGTATGTATGTGTGTATGTATGTATGTATGTATGTATGTATGTATGTATGTATGTATGCATGTATGTATGTATGTATGTATGTATGTATGTATGTATGTATGTATGTATGTATGTATGTATGTATGTATATATGTGTGTATGTGTGTATGTATGTATGTATGTATGTATGTATGTATGTATGTATGTATGTATGTATGTATGTATGTATGTATGTATGTATGTATGTATGTATGTATGTATGTATGTATGTATGTATTTATGTATGTATGTATGTATGTATGTATGTATGTATGTATGTATGTATGTATGTATGTATGTATGTATGTATGTATGTATGTATGTATGTATGTATGTATGTATGTATGTATGTATGTATTTATGTAAGCATATATAAATATAATTCAAATACAATTTTCTTTTTTCTTTTATTTAAAAGATTGCCTTCCCAAACCAAATTCCTCAGTCAACATTTGTACATCTGCTGTGTCCATGACTATATTAGTCAATGAAAGAGCACTATGTGTTTATAATTAGTTGTTGTATGTACATATGTCATGTAACACTGCACTTTGGGATGTATCAGTTGATTTAAGTAAAATTTATATATACAAAATTTTTAAATACTATTAACAAAAAAAAAAAATTCTAAAAAATTAAAAACATAAAGATAAAAAACAAATACTGCATATAACGAAATATAGTAGATTATTCATAGAATTTTTTATTTTTGCAGTTTTATGAAAATGATAAAACTTAATGTAAATTAGTATAACTTAATGGATTACATAGCTAAACATTTACTTTTTTTACCAACGGAAATAATAAACAAAGTATTATGTTAGCAAACACATAAATTGAAAGTAGAAAAAACTTAGAAATAAAAGTATAATTAGTTTTAAATACAGTGTTGGAAAAATGAATTAATTTTCTTCTTAAACATTTTTAATTAGTTAAATATATGCAATACCTCATTTTTCTTAGAACCGTATCTCGAAGAGGCCATCTTTATTTACCTGATTTACCAATTCAAAACAAATATCCGTGAATAAGAAACATGAGATTTTGAGAAAACTAGCACTAACATTTGATTGGACAGATATTTGTATAAATTCAACACGCGGACATCTGCAACGTGGGCACAGCAAAGACAGGCTATCGAAGGTGCAACAGCATACTTTGGGAAAAGTCCCCGAACCTATGGTAGAAATACTGTCAGTGATTGACGACGAATTTTCCTGTAGCTCGTTTGAGTGAAGATCCTTATGGTGAACGATGAGCGAAAGGAAAATTTTTTGTTGAAGCAAAGTCATGTCTAGTGCCACCTTCATTTGGCAAGGTGGTAACACAACGGGGCTTACTCTTGCTGTGCCCCCAAGTTTTCGTATTCTAAAAACATTATAGGCATATCGAACTGTGAAGAATTCTCCCGTTCCTGCAGAGAAACGTTAAAGTCTCCGCGCGTGAAGGTACAGTTTTAACTTTAATTTTGTGTTATAGGATTTCTATGATGTACTTAACAACAAGCATACCACTTTATAGTTTAAAATGAGCTATCTATCCGTTGGTTTGTCTTAAATTAATAATGATTATTTGTTTGTTATCTGTTGTGTACTGTATATTGCGTTTTTTGAATTTAAAACTTGCATTTTTATGATTAAAGCTCGTATCAAGGAATGCTTAATAAATTTGTAGTTTTTATGTTCGTTATGAATCATTGCAATCACGATTAACTTAAAACTAGCATAAGTCAATATCAAGATAATCATTAAATATGGATTAAGATAAAAGCTTTATGTTTAAATATACGTCGAAGTTTCGTCAAAGCATTCTTATGTACGACTTTAAAAGCGTAATAAAACTAATGTTTTTTAAAACTTCCGTTTTAGCGGCCTATAGAAAATATTTTTGCGCTCTCGTATGTAGAGACTTATTAAAAATAAATTTTATAATAAGTTTTTGTAAGTTTGTTCAGGCTTATAAATTTTATTGTAAGTTCGTTACCTAGTGTTAATTGTACGTTAATTAAATTAAATAAGTTTATAGATTTGTGAGGTGGTTTTACAATTATTAAAACTATTATTGTAAATAAAAAGTAATAGTAAAATTAAAATGCATTTGCACCCTCCTAGGTTTTTTTAAAATCAAAAAATTTATATTAGGCCGCATAACTGTTGGATTACCGGTAAAGTTGATGTAGTTAGTTTCAAAGTAGTGGCAGTTCAAAATAATTCAAAATTATCTTATTTTAAATAATTTGCGTAGTAATCCTTCAGTTACGCGCCCTAAAATAATTTTATTATGTCAGTAGAGGCTTTACAAACAATTAGAATATAATTGAAATAATAAAAGCAAAACCCCCTGGCTTAAATATAATTATTTTAGGTCGCGTAACTGTAGGTCTACCATCTGCGTTAGAGTTTCAATAAAGTATATTCATTTGTTTCAATTAACAAAACAATTTTCAATTCGTTTATAGAGATATTATGCTTTCTTACTTTATGCTTTAATTATTTTATTTTTAATTACTATATAAACTTGATTATTTATTATTAAAATATATATACAAAACGTTACATTATAGTTATTAAACATTTGCATTACATCTAATTATATTTTAAATTCATAGGTTCATTTTCCTTTTTTCGTATTTATTTCCTACCTTTGCGCATTTAAAATTTATTTCAAATACAATTTTTAAGTTGCGCAATCTAATTAATGCTATTAGCTAACTATTTTTTTGTGTAACGGTGTCAAAATATACTACTGAAATAATAGATTTAATTAAAAGTAATAAACAAGTACTGAAATGATTTATGTTTAAAAGTGATCGAAAACAGCTTTTTTATATCATTAAATTGTTATCATTGTATAACTAAACTGTAAGAAATGTAATTTAACGAATTTAAATTTTTTTATTGAGCCAGAACTTTTAACCTTAGCCTTCCCTCGCAAAGCTAATTCTTTTTTTGATAGGGTTTATCATTCTATAAGAAACTGAATAAGTTAGCTGCCCATTTTTGAAATAATGTGGTTTTAAAAAAATCTTTTAATAAGAAAAATTAGCGACGTAAATGCGCTAATATAGTGGGCAAAAGACGCTGTAATAATCTAGGCTTTCTTAAACAGGCCGCGACAGCTCATTTTCCGTAAAATTAGCGAAGGCCGACTTTTTTACGGTTAAAATTATTTTTTATCTTTGCTTTTGTAAACAAACTTCAGAAACAAATAAAGAGCTTTATTAGGACAAAACATTTTGATTGAATTTCGAAAGCAAATATTGTAGGAATTTTTTTTACGTTTAGAAATAAGTTAATTACAATAAAAATTTAAGGGGTTTAGCTAAAAATGACTAAATCTCGTTTTTATAACTATATGTTTATTTTAGCTGTTTAACACTTGTAATACAAATAATACATTTTTTGATAAAAACATACAAATATATTAACTTTATTTTATTAAAATTATTTTGACTTTTTTGACTCAAAGTATTTTATTTTGAAGTTAAAAGTTTTGCTTGTTTTATTAAACATTTCTTCCCAAAATCTTCAGAGTGGTTTTTACAATAATTGTTTAAAAAAATGTTTGCCAAAGTGCAGCAAACTTTTTTAACACTTTGAACAAGCAATTGAAATTTACTATTGCAGTTAATAAAAATGTCAATTAATCCTTTCTTGCACAGCAATGGTGAAACTTTATTCACAAGTGTCACTTCAAATATAAAAAAACAATAAAAAACAAAGTAGACTAAATTGTCAGAAGGTTCTCTTAGTCTTCCCCTGTTCAAAGAACTGATCAAAGTTCCATATTTTTGAAACATATCAAAGGTGTCTGTTTCTTCTAAAATTGAATGTAATTCTGGAAGTTTGTAAGCAATAAAACCTGCAATATATAAAAGCCCTTGTTTGCATTCATTTGGCAACTGATCCTCACAATTTTCACATATTGACATATTAAACTCCACATCAAGTTCACACTTATCACAGTGGTGGTGAGCAGGAGGAAATATTGTAAAATCTGTATGCTTGTCTAGCAACTTTCTGGTTTTGTCGATTCTAAATTTTTGAATAGCATTTTGCACAGTTATCAGATATGTGCCACCTAACCCTTGCCGATATTTCCCAAACTGTTTTTCTAGTGCATCTGATTGCATATGTCCTAACAATACATAAGATACACCGCAATTCAACAAATACTTGGCACAGCTTGCTAATCTTTTAGAAGTTTTTTGCAAAGCACTTGCAGTATACATTGTTAACTTTTTCTCTCTTAATTTTGAATTTACGCATTTCAAATTTTCAGCAAAATACGAAATATAGTTCTCTAAGAAATCTATTTGCCAATCATCGACTGAAGTAATAGGCTTTCTTCGAACATCATTTAATCTAATATCTAGACCTTTTGCTTTACTGTTGATAATAAGCCACCACTTAACAACTGTTTCAATAAAAAGTGCAGTATCTTCAGCTTCAGGAAATTTTACACGTAATGCTGCAACTGTTTCATCACAAAAAACTTTAAGAACTAATCCAACATTTTGTCGTTCAATTGGTTTTGGTGACACAGCTTTTTGTGTTAATATAACTTGCTCGCTTAGAATCTGTTTCATTATTAATAACATAACTAACAGCATTCTCCAGTTGAGAATAATATTTAATAACTCCTTTGTTTAAAAAAGACAGTTTAATTTGTAAAAGTTGGCTATATCCAGTAAAATAAATATCTCCAGAATCTTCTAAAGTTGTATATATTGAAAACTTAGGTACTGGTCCACAATGTTCATATGATATTAAAGATATATTTTTTTCTTTTTTAACAAAATAAAATTTTTCTTCACACTTATTTATTATTGTCTTCAAATTTTTTACAATTGAGTTAAATTGAATAACGTCCATTTTTTTGAAGTTTTCGAACTCATCAGGTAAATTATTTCTTTCAGAGCATATTAACCCAGTGACATCTCGTTTTCTAGACACTATTGGAATACAAGACACTGGTATACCTTTAAAGACTGATGGAGGATGCACTGGAACAAAACTACCACCTTTAACTTTTTTTAATTAATGCATCTTTAGGCCAGTGCTGAGCACAAATTCGCTTATAATCTGTAAACACAAAGTTTGCATTTGGAAGTTATTTAATCCATAACTCGCGATCCTCGGATTTAAAGGGGAATCTATACATTGTGACATAAATATTATCTTTTACTTTTGATTTGTAATTTAAGGAGCAACCATAAACGCAGCATTTAATTAGGCATTTTACGAGTTTAACTATTATAGTTTAAATCAAACAACCAAAATCTTCATTGAAACTATACTTCTCCGTAAAAAAGTCGGCCTTCGCTAATTTTACGGAAAATGAGCTGTCGCGGCCTGTTTAAGAAGGCCTTGGTATTAATACGTTATATAATAAGTATTAATACGTTATACTCAGCTCAAAAATCAATATTACCATATTTCAGTGAGGGGCCCATCCATAAAGTACGTTCGCAGGTATAGGGGAGGGGGTTTTCCTAAAGCATTCTAACGTGTACAAGTGGAGGGAGGGGGTGTTAAAAAGTATGTACGCGGTTTGACTATCTCTCCTAAATTCGATTTTTTTTTTAACATTGAATTTCACGTGTGTAATATCAAAATTGTATTTTTTTCTGACTTCAGTCACAATTTTTTTTCTATATAAATAATCAGAAAAAAAATAGTTAATTTTGAAAAACAAATAATGCGACGTATGTGGAGGGGGGGGAGGGGTGTCTTCGAAAGCGTAAAGGTTCGTACAAGGAGGGTCCTTAATCAACCAATAGACAAGTACAATTCTGATATTACATACCGACAAAAAAGTTTCCTTTTCCGTGTTGTTTTGTCTCCAAACATAACTTTAAACAATAATTGTAATTAAATTAAGCTTGTTGTTTTCTCTAAGCTCTCATGGACTGACTCGGAATCATGATTATGTTATTATTGGGATCCTTAAGGGTAAAAATGTTATCAGTAACAGCAAAGATTATTATACCAAAGGTTGTTTAAAGAAAAAGTAAATAAATAAAAAAACAGTTAACTTACTGGAGGGCCT